AACTAATTGTATCAGATGTTTAACAAGATTGTGTTCATTTGTGTTTGTCTATACTGGTACTACTTTCCATGGCTTAACAAGTGGTTGTTTTTTCTGTTTAGCACACTATGCGAGAGGTATGATTAAACCAAGTGTTGATTACAGTCACTTGTCTTTCAGGAGAGGAAGAGCTGTAGTGGGGTTCATTTAGTCCAGTGGATTGTGGTGGGAGACTTGTGGATGTTTCGCCTATAATGCATGCCAGAAAATAGATTCAGGGTCACAACGGGGTCTTTCGGTATCTCATATGGAGCAGAGGTCGTGGAGGTGAGACACATCATTCCACACCTAGGGAATGGCGCATCAATCAGTAAAGTAACATCATCTTTCACAAATGGGGGTGTATACCGCCACAGCCAAACTCAATACTAAAGGCACTATTAGCAATGCTAATCAGAGCAGTGTTCATGCACACAACCAGGCCAACCTGCCAAATTGCAAGGCACACAGAGAGAATCAATATAATTGGAAATGTAAACTGGAAACATGTTATTTTCAAGGGTGGTAATGCTGTGAGCCATACTGTGACTGAAATAGATTGAGCTCATGATGTAGAACATCGGAAAGTAAAACTACAGGGCAGTTCATAACTATTAGGACAGTTATCTGTGGCTCTGTATTCCAGCACACTGGACATGACATTATTCACTGACTATGACGTGAGAGTGCCAACTTTTGCCACTAATTTCAGGCTGTTTACCAACACATAATGATTTAATGCAATACTTTGTAGAGATCCACATGGATAAAAGAGACTAAGAGTAAAGCACATTGATCGCGCTGTATGAATGTTAACAGCCTCAAACACCAGGGAAACTGAGACTTGGCACTTTAATCTTAAAGTTATTGCATCTTTTGAAATCCAGTTTGAATTAGTACTGAGCTAATACACTGAAATATATGTCACTGTCCAAACGCCTACAAATATGAAGTATATGTAATGCTCATATCAATCACAGTTACTGCAATCATTATTTTTAACATGTCCTACAGTAACTACGGGTGAATCAATATAGGACGTGATTTTATGAGTTTGCTGATGTCACCATGGATTTTGTGTTACATCAGGGCAAAGCTATGGCTAATTTCGTAAGGGAGTGTTTGTGTCACAAGTTAGACACTTATATTATTGTTTGTTTGGTGGCTCATCTAAACTCTCCTGTCATTTCAGATCCCGCCTTCCTCCAGGCCCTTGTAATCAGCTCACTTCCCTCACCTGGTCTCCCCAGCCCTTCCCCTCACCTGTTACTCATTCCCTCATCACTCCACAGTATTTATACCACCTCACTATCACTTGTCCTTTGCCAGATTGTCTTGTCGTTTCTGCCAAGAACTCCAGTGAGTGTTGTGCTCTAGCCTAGATTTTTGTCCTGCCCGGTTTTTGACCCCTGCCTGCCTGTTTACGGATCTCGAGTTCCTGCCTGCTCCCTGTCTGGTTTTGGTTGCCTGTCTGACGGATTTCCTGGTTTTGACCCTGCCTGTCCCTGACCTGAATAAACTGAACATTGCTACACTGGTTGTATCTGAGTCGTGCTATTGGGTTCTGATCTGTACCTGTGATCGTGACAGTTCAATCTGGCCAACATGAACCCAGCCGACTCAGCGACAGAACCGCCTACGCACGATATCGTGTTACAACGCCACGAGCAGCAGCTTACCTTCATGGCTGAAGCAATGCAGGAGATGGCCGCTCGTCACGAACGGACCTTTGTGAATCTCCGTGATCATCTTCAGAACCTTCCTGCTACAGTCCAAAGTCCGGAACTAACTCCAGCTTCCGCTGTTCGAATCCAGAGTCCTCCGGCATCGGATGCACGCCTGCCTCCTCCGGAACGCTACTCTGGAGCCCCAGGTTCGTGCAGACCATTCCTGGTCCAATGTTCCCTCGCCTTCGAGCTTCAGCCTTCCGCCTTCCCAACAGAAAGATCCCGGGTGGCGTATATTGTCTCTCTTCTCACGGGCAAAGCTAAAGACTGGGGTACCGCCGAATGGGAGAGACAATCCTCTGCCTGCTCGTCTGTAAGCTTATTCTCCGATGAACTGCGTAAAGTCTTTGATCACGCTACACCCGGAAGAGAGGTCGCTCGGGGACTGTTTAACCTGGCGCAAGGAGGGAGATCTGTGTCCGATTACTCCATCGAGTTTCGTACCATAGCCGCCGAGAGTAACTGGAATGCTTCTTCACTTCTCGATGCCTTCTACAACGGTCTGTCGGATCGCCTTAAAGACGAACTGGCAGCTCGGGACCTTCCTGCTGATTTAGATGAGCTGGTGGCTCTCTCCATCCGCATTGACGGCCGTCTGCGGGAGCGGAGGAAAGAGAGGGTTTTCTCCATCGCCCCTCAGGCTCCGCCTCTCCGGTCAGCGCATGCTACTGAACAGGTGAGAGGAGGATTTTCTAACTCTTCTGAACCAATGCAGCTGGGGCGGACCCGGCTCTCAGAGGCAGAACGACAGCGCCGCCTGCGGGACAACTGCTGTCTTTACTACGGCCAGGAGGGTCATCTTGCCTTCTCTTGTCCTGTAAAAGGCAGGGCTCACCAGTCATCCAGAGGGCGCTGGTGAGCCGAATTATGAATTTATAAATGCCCTCTCGACCCCTAACCCATGCTCAGCTGAGCTGCTTGGGGAAAATGCACACTGTGGCTGTTCTTATTGACTCTGGTGCTGATGCCAGTCTTTTGGATATAACACTGGCCTTTCAGATGGGACTTGGTCGGGAGGTTTTGGAGAAGCCCATCAATGCTACAGCCCTAGATGGTCGTCTTCTCTGCAGAGTGACACACCGTTCAACTCCAGTTCAAATGAGCATGTCAGGTAATCACAGCGAAACACTCTCTTTTCACCTTATCCATGCACCACATCAGCCTGTCATTTTGGGGTTTCCTTGGTTTCCGGTGTTCCCAAAGATTACTGGGACCTTAAAGAGGCCTTTAACAAGGTTCGGGCCACCTCACTCCCGCCTCATCATGCTAATGACTGTCCTATTGACCTGTTACCTGGTACTTCTCCGCCTAGAGGTCGACTTTTTTCTTTATCGGCTCCTGAAACTAAGTCAATGGAGAAGTATATCAATGACTCTTTGGATGCAGGGCTTATCCGGCCTTCATCATCTCCTGCTGGTGCAGGTTTTTTCTTCGTGGGTAAGAAGGATAAGACTCTGCGCCCATGCATTGACTACAGAGGACTCAATAACATCACTGTTAAGAACAGGTACCCCCTTCCACTTGTTTCCTCTGCATTTGAACTGTTACAAGGCGCTACTATTTTTACCAAGCTGGACCTACGTAACGCATACCATTTGGTGAGAATCAGGGAGGGGCACGAGTGGAAGACGGGATTTAACACTCCTAGTGGACATTATGAGTATTTAGTCATGCCTTTTGGACTCACCAATGCACCTGCAGTTTTCCAGGGGTTGGTGAATGATGTTCTGCGGGATCTTCTCAATATCTGTGTTTTTGTATACCTGGATGACATTTAGATTTTTTTCCAAGTCAAAACAGGAGCATGTGGTCCATGTTCGCCTAGTCCTCCAGAGGCTCTTGGAGAACCACCTCTTTGTCAAGGCCGAGAAGTGTGTGTTCCACACCACAGAAGTCCCGTTCCTGGGATTTGTGGTCTCCACCGGAAACATCAAGATGGATCCTGAAAAGACCAAGGTGGTGACTGACTGGCCACGCCCTTCAACACGCAAGGAGCTCCAACGCTTTCTGGGTTTTGCCAACTCCTACCGGAGGTTTATTCGAAACTACAGTTTGGTGGCCGCTCCTCTCACAGCTCTCACCTCTCAGAACATTCCCTTCCGGTGGTCCTCGGTGGCCGAAGGGGCTTTTGGTGAGTTAAAGTCACGCTTCACCTCTGCTCCTATTTTGATTTTTCCAGATTCTACTCGGCAGTTTACTGTAGAGGTAGATGCGTCGGACACTGGAGTTGGGGCAGTTCTTTCTCAACGGTCGGCCGAGGATCAGAAGATGCACCCGTGTGCCTTCTTCTCTCGAAAGCTGTCCCCAGCAGAAAGGAATTATGACATTGGAAATCGAGAACTGTTGGCAGTGAAACTTGCCCTAGAAGAATGGAGACACTGGTTGGAGGGAGCAGAGCAGACTTTTGTGGTCTGGACTGACCACAACAATTTGGAGTACATCCGTTCAGCTAAGCGGCTGAGGTGGGCATTACTGGTGGGCTCTGTTTTTCACACGCTTTGATTTTTCTCTTTCATACAGACCTGGTTCTAAGAACATCAAACCTGACGCCCTGTCTCGCCAGTTCCAGCCAGAGAGCTCTCCATCTCATACTGAGAATATCATCGCTTCTACATGTGTCATTGGTCTGGTGACCTGGGAGGTGGAGGATAAGGTCAAGCGCTCTCATGCTGAACACCCAGCCCCAAGTGCCTGTCCTGTTAACCGTCTGTTTGTTCCTGCCACTCTCCGTACCCAGCTTCTCCAGTGGGGTCATAACTCTCGCCTGGCTTGTCACTCAGGAGTGAGACGGTCCCTAGCCCTGATTCGACAGCGATTTTGGTGGTCTTCCATGGAGAAGGATACCAAGGAATTAATTGCTGCTTGCCTAGTCTGCTCCCAAAATAAGACCTCACGCCAAGCTCCCTCCGGTCTTCTTCATCCCTTGCCTATCCCTCATCGTCCCTGGTCCCACATCTCCTTGGATTTTGTCACTGGACTACCACCCTCAGACGGTAACACAGTCATACTCACAGTCATAGACCGGTTTTCCAAGTCTGCTCTGCTTATTCCATTAACCAAATTACCTACTGCCAAGGAAACGGCTGAAATCATGCTACAACATGTGTTCAGGCTGCATGGTGCCCCAGTGACGTTGTCTCTGATCGAGGACCACAATTTACTTCTCGTTTTTGGTCCGAGTTTTGCAGGCTGCTGGGAGCCAGTGTCAGTCTCTCGTCAGTCTCTCGTCCCTAGTCCAATGGTCAAGCAGAGCGAATGAACCAGGAGATGGAGACTGCCTTACGCTGTCTAGCCTCCTCCACTCCCTCCTCCTGGTCGAGGCAGCTTCTATGGGTTGAGTATGCCCACAACACCCTTCCTAGTTCTGCTACTGGTCTTTCTCCATTCCAATGCTCCCGCGGATACCAGCCACCCCTTTTCCCGGCACAGGAACGTGAGGCCAGCGTCCCATCTGCACAGGCGTTTGTAAGCCGATGTCAACGCATGTGGTTAAAGGCCCGCTCCGCGCTCCTGCGCTCTTCCGACCGTTATCAACGGACCGCCAATCGCCGTCGCAAGCCAGCTCCACAGTACTCCCCAGGGCAACGTGTCTGGCTCTCCACACGGGATCTCCCTCTCAGAGTTGAGTCAAATAAGTTGTCTCCCCGTTTTGTAGGCCCATTTCCCATAGCTAGGGTCATCAATCCTGCAGCTGTTCGCCTGCGTCTGCCCCCTTCTATGAGGATTCATCCTACCTTCCATGTGTCCAAGATCAAACCAGTTAATGTGAGCCCTCTTCAGCCCCCCTCTAGACCCCCACCACCACCCCGGACTATCGACGGGGAGACTGTTTACACTGTCCGTCGCCTCATCAAGTCCCGGCGACGTGGTAGAGGGTTGCAGTACCTGGTACACTGGGAGGGTTATGGCCCTGAAGAGCGTTCATGGGTGCCTGCTCGCAGTATCTTTGACCCATCTCTCATTACTGACTTTCACCAGGCTCATCCCGATCAACCACGTGGGACGTCAGGAGCCGTCCATAGAGGGGGGGGGTTCTGTCACAAGTTAGACACTTATATTATTGTTTGTTTGGTGGCTCATCTAAACTCTCCTGTCATTTCAGATCCCGCCTTCCTCCAGGCCCTTGTAATCAGCTCACTTCCCTCACCTGGTCTCCCCAGCCCTTCCCCTCACCTGTTACTCACTCCCTCATCACTCCACAGTATTTATACCACCTCACTATCACTTGTCCTTTGCCAGATTGTCTTGTCGTTTCCGCCAAGCTCTCCAGTGAGTGTTGTGCTCTAGCCTAGATTTTTGTCCTGCCCGGTTTTTGACCCCTGCCTGCCTGTTTACGGATCTCGAGTTCCTGCCTGCTCCCTGTCTGATTTTGGTTGCCTGTCTGACGGATTTCCTGGTTTTGACCCTGCCTGTCCCTGACCTGAATAAACTGAACATTGCTACACTGGTTGTATCTGAATCGTGCTATTGGGTTCTGATCTGTACCTGTGATCGTGCCAGTTTGTTTGTTTGTTTGCACCCCAACTTCAGCCTGATCCTGAAGAATGAGAGTTTGGTTTCCACTAGATTTTCTTCTCCTTCAGCAAAGCAAAGTTAGCTGCACACACATCTCCTGTATAGTTCATGTTAAGTGAAGCTCACAGGTTATTTTCAATGTGCATTTAGTGGAGACTGTTTAATGTATCCAGTTTAAATAACACACACAATGGCTTCATTGCCCAACATGTGTTAACTCTAAAGTGCCAATTCTCCACAGCCAGGCAAGCATTGATCTGTGAGTTTTGGGTTCATTCTTTAGAGGGTGTTACATGCCCTCTGTATAATTTTGATCTGTGTGAATCAATAAACCAGAATCAAATAGAGGTAGAGGTTATTGATATCCTTTTCTACAAACCTTAATGACACACTGTCCTTTCCACACAAGCTCAATTTGAACATTTACATGATTGTTGCCATGGATCACCAAAGTGTTGAGACCAGGAAATGTTTCACAGCAAGGATGGATTATTATTGTTTATCTGAATTATGACCACAGTATTATTTTGTAGTTTTAAATATCTACTATAACATCACTTTTTTTTATAATAGGATTGCATTACAAGTCTGTCACAAGCTTTTCGCTTTGGCATACAGATATCTGGAGGGAGCTTGGAGTAGAGCCACGGCCCCTTGCGTCAAAAAGGGCAAGTTGAGGCATCTAAACAGCATGTCCCCTGGGCACCTCTCATTAGAGGTTCGAGGCAGATCCAACTGGTAGGAAGGCCCGGGGGAAGATGGATGGATGTTTTTTTGTTTTCTTATATAAAGAATATTGTTATTATATCCAATATGTTTCAGTAATGTTTTTCAATATATTTCACCTGACCATACACTCAGCCAGTCCCTGTTCTGTATATGTGACACACCTTGTCTAAAGTTATTTTTAATAAATTATTTTAGGATTTAGTACCCTTCTAATTTTTCTTCCACATAAATGAAAACAACGTTTTGTCAATCAAGACTTTGCGATACTTGTACAGAATAACTCAACAGTTATTGTTAGATCATGAGCCTTTCTTTATCTCTCGGTGAATGTTTTTGTCCATCTTTAAGAGTATTTATATGGTTCTGCTTCACCCTGAATGTGTTCCTTTATCACTGCCTAACCCCCTCATCCCACCAGGAGCGTCTGCGCTGCGTTGCGCTGCGGCTGCGGCGTTTTTAGCGATCGCGGCCACTCTAGTCAATGGGTGCTATTCCACCAGACACGCTGCGCCGCGCTGCGCCGCGGCTCGAAGCGTCCCAGAAGCTCCTCGCCGCAAGGAATTTCTAAAATATAGGATGAATCCTATTTTTGACGTGGCGCAGCGCGGCGCAGGCAGGAAGTGGAATGTTCATCCAACAACTGCGAGGCTGCACACACGACGCTCCGCTTCCGCAACGTTTTGAAACGCGCCTGGTGGGTTAGGACGCAGGAGGAGGTCGCAGGAGGAGGTCGCAGGAGGAGGTCGCAGCGCGGCGCAGCCGCAGCGCAGACGCTTCCGGTGGGATCAGGGGGTAAGCCAGTTCCCATATCCGTACCAGACCTGGAACCTGTATCTCAGTCTGATCCTTTGTTTTCTGTCCCTCAACCAAAGGTTGTGCATCGAACCAAGTCTGTTGTATCTGTCTCACTGTCATTGCAAGCCTCTTTCTCTTCTCCAGCTTTACCTTTGTAAGTCTCTGCTCAAGCCTGTTTAAATCAAAGATTGGCTAATGTGCATGTCAAATTGTTCTGAGCCATAACCCTGTATTGCCTGCCCTTTGATTTTAAGTAGTGTGTATAGTTCAATAAATTAACTTTTGTGATCACCCTCCTCGGTGTTCCCGCCTGTTTTTCCCTGCATCTGGGCCACACTCCTGAGCAGTCCTTCCTGTCCCCTGGTTAGCTTCCTGAGGTTTCCCAGCACTGTTCCCCAGGTAGTTTTCCCTGCCAGTTACCAGTGTCGAAGCAGACCCCCTTAGCGGTCCAGACAGTTTCTCCATTCTAGTGATCAGCCTACTGGGAACTGAATCTGCATCCCTGCTCCGTCTTATCACAACTGGGAATGGTTTTGGGTGTCAACCTAGGACTTCTCTCTCTCTCCAACCCTAACTACTCTACACAGCAGAATGATATCAAATGATACCACAGCTAGGATTACAATATGTAATTACTTTTGTAACTACTGGGAGAAATTACAGTTTAACATTATGACTCAAATCAGTTTAACTGACACATGTTAGGTATACCCAGGCATACCCATGTCTCACTTTATTTTTAGATATCTATGTTAGGCTTCCCGAGAAGTGACTGGAGATGAGAACCCGCTATGCAAGCACTAAAACTGAGACAGTGGTGAAGTGTCAAAAAAAGGTTTTATTTTGTCCACGACACTGGCAAGGAGTTGACGATGAGCACATAGAGGGGAGACGTGGAACTGGGCTGACCAGGAGGGAGGGCTGGACGTGGCAGGCAGAGCGGCTGGAGTATGTGGATCTGGAACAGGAAAAACAAGCAGGATTAGAAAAGAATCTCCTTTCACAAGGAGCATCAAAAAGTCACTAGGAAAAACACTAGTAGGCCTGGACGATAGTTTACCACTGAAGAATAAACGAAGAACTGGCAAAGTCTGAGGATGGGAACCAAGGTTTTAAGCAAGTGCAGGTGAGTAGTGGCAATCAGTGAGATGAGCAGCAGCTGAGGAGGTGAGTTGGCGGGAATCGAAAGTAGGACAGCCTCGCCCAGCCAGGAAGACAGACACACAAACACAGAAGGGGGAAAAGAAGGAGGAAGTACTGCAGATCCTCACAATCTACTTCACAAAAACACATTGGCAGAGTCATGCCCAGTTATTTTAGTCATTGAGAGAGACTCTTCATGAGAGTCAATTTAGTAAGGCATGACTGGTGGAATGTTTTTAGTGAATCGGTGATACATATAATCATTAAGAAATTATGTTTTCCAATTCATGAAACTTGCAAATGAATTGCTATAAAAAAAGATAAAAGCAATAAATCAACATCATTCTGTCATCAGCATCATCTTTAAACCAGCAATAATTGAGTTGTTCGGTAAGTTGGAAGCACTATAAATGAAATGTAACACATCATAAACATGTGACCCTTGAAGTTGACGGTTGTACATTTTCGCAACAAGCCGTTACAGAGCAACATTATCATTCAGTCATATTTTTGGCCGAAAAAGTTGGGAGGGGGTTTAATGTATCAATGACAGATTGAGCCACATTTACTAATGTTAGAAAGCCTGACAAATGGTTCAAGAAGGAAGAAGGAAAAATCCAGACTTTAAAACCTGGCTTTACCAGCATGGACTTCTAACCATGCTTCTTGGCTCTTCAGAGTTCACAAGTTCCAGATCACTGCTCTAGAGGGCCTTGAGAAGAGCACATATCGAAACAACCAATAATTTAGCCAAGCTCTCTTCAGTAGGCCTTCAGTATACATTTGAAACTACATATCCCCCTTTATTCGGTTGGAATCCAAGGTGGAAAAAAGCAATCTTATTAATTCAGAAAAACTCCAAAGATTACCTCTTATAGCAAGCTCTGGTTGAGCTGACTTTGCCGTAGGAGGAGAAATGCTAACGGGGCCACGAGAGAAAGGCCTTGAAGTACGAATCATTAGTTCAGGAGTGCAAGAGCAAGAGATGGGAGACATATTTGTTCCCTGTGGACATAGGCTGCAGAGCCAAATCAGTGTGGTGGTTGTTGTCAACTCAGGAATAATGCAAAACATGTAGGAGGACGGAGGGTGAGCCTCTTGCTTGGTACAGAGGAGGCAAGTAGGAAACCAGAATCCAGGATTATATGGGCATTGATTTGGAGTGTCATGGTTAAAGCCCGCGTCACACTATCGACACCAGATGGACACACGAATATGGAATTGAGAATTTCGCACAAAGATGGCCCCGAACTTGGTCAACAGCCAAGCAACAGCCGAAGCAAGTACGATGCCTACAGAAGGCCACACGATGGCACCCGAACCACACACGAAAATATGGTCGTAGACTTTACTGATGATTTAGAATGTATCCAGACTCAACAACTCAGTCTTACGGCATTTTGTGCTATAGTCACGACATTTAATCTATTGATTCGTGTGCACCAACATAATTTCCCCCTTTTTTTCGTGTCACACAAAACAGTTTTCAAAGCAATGTATTTCTATTGGTAGTATCTTTTGTGCCTGCACCACGCCTTTTTGTCCGGTCGGGTCTTGGAAGACCGGAAGCTGTGTGGTTCATAAAAACATGTTCTTACTCAATATCAACCCACGATTATTGTTTTTATTTTAAATCGTATAATGACTTTTTTTGCCATACGCGAGGAAAATAAAAATCTATTTTGTTATTATTTTCTAAATAACACACTGTTATTTACTCAACAATAACACACAATTATCCTGGTTTTTATTTATTAGTTTAATTCTATAATCTCTGGCTTTTTTGCCATTCCTCAGGAACTGAATTTCAAAATA